ATAAAGTCTCAAAGATTGTATCGCCTGTATGCCACACCCAAAAGCGGACGAGTTTGAATGGTGTTGTAGAGGCTCAACTAACTCAGAAACTCCCATGTTGGAACTACAAACGACTAGTCATGACCGTTGGCGATAGTGGGGGTGGTATAGTGACAAGTGTCGCCCTATCCCGCACGAATGGTCACGGGAATCCCGCATCAGTGCCTACTTAGGCTCACGAGGCCTTATATCCCTTCGAGGACGACTACTTGGCACCAGACTTGGCTGGAAGTGTAGAAGCACCGACTTGTACATCGGCTGGCCATCGCAAGTCATTTTATAGGTTACATCCGCATTAAGTACACCTACACAATTCCGAATAGAAGTCGAGGTCCATCCCTTAGACGGGTTGGAAAACGCCCGAAGGCTTTTCGAAAAACTGTTTCTCCTACTTACCTTATCGAATTCACACACGATCTCGTTTAGTAAACGGAGACATTCGAGTTTTCTACTGGTATCCCACTGGCTCCAAAAATCTTTGAAATTCGGAATGGAAGCGAACATCACGCAAACGTTTTCATGTTGACGTGCATACAATTCCTGAGAGGACCACTTTTGCCGACATCTTCATAGACGTAAAAATAAAAAAATGGTTTAAAGGAAGTCTGATGCTGCGAAGGGCGGAAGAGACCTACATCGACTGGCCTATCCGGTGCTAGAAATTTGCAGGCTACACTGCTGGGCAAGATATTTTCAATTAGTAATTTATTGATATCCTGCATTGTTTCTACATCACGCTCCTCGTTCTTGAACGATACATTGCAAGCGTTTTCTGCTTTTCTTTCATAATTCGTCTGAAAAGGGCATAGCTACAAAGTGAGCAAATGGAAAATATAAAAAATCGGAATAATATTTTGGAAATCGATATGATATGATCCAAGTTATGTCAAGACATGGCACTGGGCAGGGTCAGCCTACGCGGGGATTTTTCTTCCAACTGTCTCGCTCGAATCTCTGAACAATTACTGGGTACCGATAAAGTAAAAGGGGTGCCAGTGTTACCAGCAGAGGTTCGAGGCCCAACAGAGGCCCCACCAAGTAGTATTCCGCTCATGCAAACTATGGCTCCGGTTCCTAAGGCAATCACTTGGATATAGATCACGAAAAACCCAAACCATATCCAGACAGACAGGATGGACACCCCAAATCATCACCGAGTTCAATGGTGCACTGATGTGCAACTGCGAGTTCTCAGTTATAATTGGACGCCTGGCGCATCCCAAAATGGCATCGATCAACGATTAAGGCTGCATTCTTCGCGGCTTTACAACTATAATTTCACGTTTGAGTGCTGATAAGCTTTTGCGTAAAAGCCATCAGGAAGGCGAGGGCGAGCAGGGTCTCATTAGTGTAAAGGATAAAAAAGTATGGCGCCAGAAGG